TCATTAGCTAATTTGAACTTCTTCACTTTCCGCTGTAAAGTGACTTGCTTACACCATGCTTTTTGAATGCACTCATCAATGTCATTTGATTTTCTACAACATCTTTCACTGCAGAATGCATAGATCTTGCATAAACTTTATGATCCTCTCTGCTTTTTTCAAAAACTGCTGACAGTTGGGATCTTGGATGTCTCGGCATATTCAATTCTGCAAAGAATGAAAATTTTTAGCATGTTGTAGCATATTTCAGCATGGACCTCATTATGTTATCATATCCCAGTATGGACCGCTTATTTTTTCCCACTATGGACCATGGTGCATCAAAATACAAATGACCAAAAATTTTATCAAAGTGGTAGAGCTAGGTATAAACAGAATAAGACAATATTGAGGTTATGTATGTTTTAGATATCCATACCAAATTCTTGTTAAAAAGGATACATTTCGGCGGATTATTCGAAAAAAACTGAACATGGAAATAAAAATTTTCAGCTGATCACTAACCTGAATTTCCAAAATATCGAAACGCACCGTACCAATTGAAAAACCAACAAGAGATTCAAAGGCGGCACTGTTATGATAGCACACACACTGAAACATAGCTCTACCGCGACGACAAAATTGCCAGGAGAGTGAAATTCCCACTATGGACCAGTTTACCCTTCTGCGTTGTGTAATAGCGCTGATACCAAAGTTATTGCGTTAACGCAATTGAGTTACACCGACACCGCGACACCGCACGGCGCACTCATACTTTTGAGTCAAACACATAGTCATGCGCCGTGCCCCAGCAGACAAAGCCGAACGAAACACGTCATCACTTCAAAAGATTCAACTCCTCTATTGGCTATTTACAAAACCAGGAATTTGAGAAGAAAAGAACACAGTATAATATGTATATCCGATCTACCAAAATAATGTTAAAACGTTATATTAGGAGTAATACCTTTGAAAATAATATTATAGGACGAAAAATAGCGTGACATGAAATAACATGACTATTATTATGATAAAATGGAATATATACTTGGGGGTTGGGGGGACTATCATCATATGTTTGTCACTGTCTCTGCGTGTTGTATAAAATATAGTATAGTTTCAATTTAAGGACTCGATGGTTCGGTGTAAATATAATGAAGCGAGTACGAGAGGTGTAGACGACGCCTGCATTATTTAAAATTTTTAATTGCAGTTATGTGAAAAATTATGCATTTTAATTTTTAACTTTCATTGAAAAACAGAAACAAAATAATAATTCTTTTATACTTATAATTAACTAGAACCTTCTTTGGTTCAAAATAAAATTTAAAACATAAAAACATCAAAAAAAAATAGGTAATTCTCAAAATACTAACTATAAAAAAGATAACAAATATAAATTATGTAAAAATATAGTGTTCTTGTTATTCAATTCAGTTTTTGTAATTTAAATTATCATTTAAAGGTGCGTCCAGACCGCAGCGCAATACCGTGCAGAACGTTCGCGAACGTTCCTACACAGATGCGCGTTAAACGTCTAAACTGCTGCAACATTTATTAAAAATGATCGTGTTTGCCGAGGTTCCAGTTTTGCAGTAATGCGCGACGTGATTACTTCAGCATGAACGACGACTCTAAAATTGCAGTTGCTGCTTTTATCATTTTGTGTGATACATTAACAAAAAAGAAAAAGAGAAGAGTGAAGAGACGTTACTGGATGACACGTATATTTCATAGTAGAAATATATACAGTGGCAGTGATTTGCTGTGTGACCTAGCAATTGAAAATACTGGATAATTTAAAAATTTCTGTCGTTTGTCTTCTAGTGATTTTGAGATGATACTAAATCTTATTGGTCCTAAAATTCAGAAAGAAAATACCAATTTTAGGTTGGCTATCCCTATCAAGGAAAGACTAGCTCTGGTGCTTCGGTTTTTAGCCACTGGAGACTCATACACTAGCTTAATGTATACTTTTAAAATATCTAAGCAAAGTATCTCTACAATAATTATTGAAGTTTGTAAGGCATTGACAGAAGTATTAGAAGACTACATTAAGGTAAGAAAACATTTTATTTTTAATCCTAAATCACTGATACTGAATACGCTTAAGTGTTAACATCGAAAGTATGTAGATAATCTTGCAAAGGAGTTTGTGTCTCTGAAATCTCTGTCTGATTGTATTGATAAGATTGAGATAAGAGCAGAATAACTAGGTGATGGAATATGAACATATGATGAAGATGATGATTCCTGAGCATATAGTGATGGTGATGATGCATCTATATTCGGCATTCTTGATTGAAAGTGTGTCTCAACAGATGTTTTCCGGTAATTATTATATTTCCCTATCTCAGCGTCAAAAATAACATTGTTCATTAGATGCATCGCAATAGAGCGAACTCTGTTATCAAATTTTTGTAGTTTGATGGCAATATGTTGACCAAAAGTAAAACATTCATCCTTTGGAGTATTCGACACATTTTTAAGAATGTCATATGCAGCAGCTACTCTCGGATCTTCCTGCTGCACACTTTTTTTTAATGTTTGTTTCCTTGGAAATGTAAATAGTTTGCGAGTTGGTGTCTCTTTGGTCTTTTGTTTCAGCGTTAATTCTTCTTCCAAATCCGCAGTTACATCGTTTGTGGATTCTGCTTCTTTTGAAACGTCCACCTCTGATTCACCACCGCTTACGGCTTCAATTTCATTTCCAATATTTGAACCCTAGAATAAAAACAATGATACTGTATAAATGAAATTTTTTGTTTGAATAAGTGGCATTTATTCTTTGATTTGTTACAGACGCCGTCTACCGCAGATAAATAGTTAGAAATTTCGAGTGAGTTTGACCAGCAGTGGAATTTTTCACACTGCCTAGGTGCAATAGATGGAAAACATGTAGTTTTGCAGGCTCCTGTAGGTAGCGGCAGCGAATACTTCAATTACAAATCATTATTTAGTATTGTATTGTTCGCATTAGTAGATACAAATTATAATTTTGTATTTGCGGATATTGGATGTCAGGGACGTATTTCCAATGGAGGAGTCTTCAAAAAGAATTTATTATGGAAAAAAAATAGAAGATAACAGTTTGGCATTTCCTGAAGCAGCAATTCTTCCAGGGCAGCAAAAGATTATACCATATGTTATTCTCGGTGATGATGCATTTGCACTACACGAACATCTCATGAAACCATATGCAGGTTTACATAAAAAAGGTTCTTTGGAAATAATTTTCAATTATAGACTATCAAGAGCACGAAGAGTGGTTGAAAATGCCTTTGGAATTGCATCTGCTGTTTTCCGAGTGTTAAGAAAACCAATGTTACTAGAACCAAATAAAGCAGCACTTGTTGTATTAACTACCCTTTACTTACATAATTTCCTAAGACAAAGTAATATTTCACGTAATATGTACACTCCTAGATGAACACTGGACTATGAAGAGAATGGGGAATTAATTCAAGGAAGTTGGCGACAAGAACAACCCCCAAGTGAATCATTCCTTTCTGTGAGGAAGGTTCCAAGGAAATCGAGTAACGGTGCTCAAGAAATTAGAAGTGAAATAGCTGCATACTTTATGAATAATGGAAGTGTAGTTTGGCAAAATGATTATGCATAAAAAATGTGCTTATTGCTTTAATAAAAATGATACAGTTTGAACGTAAAGGTAAACTAATTCAATAAAATGTTTATTGATCAAGTAAAAAATGACTGCCGACACGACGATTTTCATTTTAATTAACGAATTTTATAACATTCAAAAATCTGCCGTCCCTTTCATCCCCTCAATGTAATAGCCACCCCCTCAATTTTTTAAAATAACAAGAGGGGTCCTATGGGATATCATTGAAAAGGTAATTGTTCGAGAAAGTCTCGAACACATTAATTTTATTCTGAAATAAATATTGTTATCATCACCCTGTACATTTTAAGTTATAGTTAAGATCCGACAATAAAGCAATCTGTTTTTCCCGACTAAACAATTGGATCTACATCCAAGTAACACGAATAGAAGATATTAAAAGGGCGGATTACCGGATAAATCCCTTAATAAATTCAGGTAGTCAGTCATTACCTATGAAATGTAAATGTTGAAATTTCTAATAATAGAAATATGATTGCTGATTGCCTTAATTCTTATTTAAGCGCCCTCAAGCGGGAGAAACAACTGTTACGTATTGTAGAGTGTGACACTTCGTTTGANATGCAAATGTTGAAATTTCTAATAATAGAAATATGATTGCTGATTGCCTTAATTCTTATTTAAGCGCCCTCAAGCGGGAGAAACAACTGTTACGTATTGTAGAGTGTGACACTTCATTTGAAAGCTAATTCTATTAGCAATTCAATACACTACATAAAATTATCTTAAGTCCTCCATTTCAGTGTATTTTACATGATGAAAACATAGGTTTACAATTTCATTTCGAACTTATCATTTACTGGATGGATTGTAGTGAAGCTTTGGCAGCTTATAGTAAAATATTTAAAAATTCAAATAAAACAATTTCACGTGTCCTGCTAATTATTATACTATATAAAATATAAAAAAGGGATAGTGCAGATGCAGTTAAAAAAAAACACATCATTCTACATATTTTTTAAATATTTTTGCCAAAAATATACTTAAATACTTACAGCCTTATTTATAAAGACCTACTTATTATAATACTAATAATCTATTACTTAATAGCTACTAAGAAGCTATTATGCAGTTCGTATTCATAGTTGAAATTTTAGTAGTTACTTGTTAATTGCATTTTCAACGACAGAAATATTTGGCAATGCGGCATATTTACGGATTCCGTAGTTCATTCGACCTACTTGGAAACATTTTTATGTATTTTAACCTCACTTTAACTTGACGTGACATACGTGCATCATATCAACTTTATTCTTTGTACAATTTCAACTTGTTCTTGTTATTATGAAAGATTTAGGATTACTGGATGTGAAGGAAGAAGGGAATGAAGCTGAAGAAGCCAATATAATAAATAGATATCCAAAAGTTTACTTGCCAAGACAAAATCCTTTTGTTAAATATGATGATATGCATTTTAAAAACAGGTACAGAATGAGGAAAGAAACTGCTCGGTTTATCATACAATTAGTAGAGGAAGAATTAGGTAATTTTGAAAATAACAGGGGATTACCCATAAACACAGATATACAGGTTCTTGCTACGTTAAGATATCTAGCTAAAGGTGCATACGGAACAGAAATTGGTAAGTAGTTTATGTAGTATCTAGTTATATAAATACAGTTTTTTTGTTTGCAGCTGATCATCATGGCATTTCACAACCTTCATTAAGTAAAATAGCAAAACGAGTTGTAGTTGCTATAGCCAGACATAGAGAAAGATTTATTTCGTTTCCGGACTATGATGAACAGCAGAGTATTAAAGCAGATTTTTATCGAATAGCAGGTTGCCCAAGAATTGTCGGTGCAATTGATTGCACTCACATAAATATAAAAAATCCAGGAGGTGACTATCCCGTTTTGTTTATAAACCGTAAGGGATATTATTCGCTTAATGTACAGGTATAAGAAAATTAAATAATAACATTTGTCTTATTCATTCATATGTATATTATTTTCATTTTTTAGGTCGTTAGTGATAGCAAATGCAGAATTAGAGACATTGTAGAACGATGGCGGGGTAGTACGCATGATTCACGTATCTGGAAAGAGTCTTCGTTGAAGAGAAGATTTCAGGTAGATAAATTATACTTAATTTTATATAATTATTATTATAGTGATATCTTAAAGGCAGGTGATACTACAGGCATATTACTGGGTGACAATGGATATGCATCAACCAGATATTTGTTGACACCTGTGTTAAATCCAGTTACAAATGCTGAAAATAGATATAATAGAGCACATTGTTCGACAAGGAATGTTGTTGAGAGGTTGTTTGGTATTTGGAAAAACAAATTTAGGTGCTTTTTCAATGGTCTAAATTTAAAGTTGGAAACAACAAAAGCTGCAATTGTCGCAGCAGCTAATGTACACAATATAATTATTAATGATAAATTAGAAAACGAACGTCAAGGTAATATTTCTTTTATACATAATACATCTACATTATACCATTCATAACATTTTTAGATTTATCAGATGATGATAATGATGATGAACACCCAGACGCTGAGGATTTCAGAGTAGAAGTAGAAGATAATGCTCAAGGAAATATATTTAGGAGACAATATATTCAACGTTATTTTAATTAATTGTTAAACATATTGAAATATTTGAAAATGTATATTTATTGAAAATAAATACAACAAAACAGTTTATTATTACATATTAGAGTTTTATATATTTATTAACAGTAATTATAAATATTAATTTTCTCTATTGCATCTGCATTCATTTGTCTGTAGCATTCGCAACCGTTCCTCGTGATACTTCCTCTCTCGTTTTCCATTTTCACCTTGTGCATCTCTGCAGATCGTTTCATCATCTGTTCTATTCTTAATTTGTTTAAAGCTAACAATTGGTTTTCATATTCTGTCATTGGCTTTGCTTTTGCGTGTTTACTAGGTATACTTGGCTCACCAAGGCTATTTTTCAAAAACTTGGTCTCTTTAATTTGATTTGATACGACTATGGTTTCTTCATATATATCTTCCAAACAACCAGTTTCAGGATTAACAATAAAGTCCCCATCTTTCGTCTCATTATTTATCAAATCTATCTCCACATTTTCTTCTATTCCAACAAAATTTGTNATATATTTATTAGTTCGTCTTACATTTTGTGTTCAATTCTGCCGCAATTTTTTCTTCCACACCTCATCCTTATATTCGGCATTCCTGTATTTTTCGTTAGTCTGATCATACAACGGTGGAAAGTTTCTGACTTCTTCAATTAGCGTTTCCATGGTAAATGAAAAATAAGTGCGGAACGTCTAGCCCGAGACCGCACCGTCTCCGTCAAAAATTAAAACGAAACTACTCCCGCACGGTGCGGACGTGGATCGGTGTCGGCGCCCGAGCGCGGTGCGGGAATGTTAAGACTATGCCATATGATTACACGGTACAATTCATCGCCGTTACACGGCCGTACTACGGAACGGGCTCGGTGCAGACTCGGTACGGAAATATGTGTCCCGACCTTTACGCGGAAACCGCACATCGTGGAGATGGTGGCGCGGACGAGGATCACCAGGGCTGAGCTCTATCCCTTACTCAAGATTAGCAACTCCCTTAGCCTAAGGAATAAGCGAACGCTTTCAAAGTGGTACTTTAACAGCAGGTAACCTACACCTCCGTGGCGGGGGACACGCGGCAGAAAGCCATTTAAAGTCAATCCAGGCTGTGGAGGACATGGCTTTACGCACGGCCACCGCCTCCCCCTAGTACGTAAAAAAGCAGACGTTCTACGCGACTTACAATACACGAACGCCACCCAGTTAATGCGAACAAACGCCGAAAAGCGCTTTGTCGCGGCCGCGAGACACGACAATCCCCTCCTCATGCAAGCCGGTGACTACATACCCAACGTGATAAACACAAACCACCTATACCTTGTCCAACGAGAGAATGGACTTGCGCTGGAACGAAAACTCGTTTGTTTTGGGTCAGACTCCGCCTATTCAATCCCTGCCAAGGCGCAATTGGCTCAGTAGTTACCAGGGCCGGTGATTCTGATAGCAGCGGTACAGACTAGTTTTTTATGTTTTAAATAATAAAATGTTTTTTTAATTAATATTTTTACCTTTTCAATAATAAATGACTTATTTTAAACATATTTATAGTTTATTTTACATGACGCTGATAAATTTATTACACCTAATTAACCTACTACAATGAAGAAGCGTTTACGGCTAAGATTTAATGTAAAATGGTCCTGTGTAGCTCGCTATAGACTTCTCCCACTCTAATCGCCAATGCGCAAAGCAAGTCCATTCTCTCGTTGGACAAGGTATACATGTGAATAACTACTTACATTTTCTTTTAATTCCATTGTATAACACATAAAATATAAAAAAAATATAACTGTAACTAAAAATATCTTGGTTAGACTTTTCAGAAAACTTCAAACTTCAAATGTAGACAGACGAGATGACAGATGACGGTTTTTTTATACTATCTCCGATAAACATACTCCAGCACGCTACTAAAAATTTAGTTACCAACTAGGACTAATAGTTTACTAATTCCGTTTATGAATACAAATTTCTTAGTAGGATCTTAATAGGATGTTAGTAGACAGTATTATCGTATATGAATAAGGCTGTTACAGTTTCAGTGTTGACAGTTTCTTTTACTTTATTCTTATTCATCAGAAATGCAAAACTTGCAAATGCAAACCATTTGCTGACAAACATCCTCCTGTCCTAAAATTTATTGACTATTTTAATTAGTTATAAGAATTATTATATTTATAATAAAAATACCTTGTCCAGTTTTTGTTGTATTTTTAATTTTTGTTCGTTCTCTTCGAAACGAAGACAACAAAGAAGTCATTTTTGTTTTGACCAATTCTCTGTCGCTTTTCATTTATGTGGCAATTTGAAGCCAAGCATCATGTTTTTTATTTCTAAGATGGTCATTTTTATTACCACAATCCCATAATTCAGGCTTTCCTTCATATTCATTTATTAAGCGTAAAATTTTCTCATGGTCCCAGTCACTCATGTTCTATATTACACGCGCGTACTACAAACTTTAAATAATCACGTCCATACTGCGCTTCGTTCGACGTGCAAATGTCTTTGATGTACCGACATCAAGCGGAACATAATTGCTCGTGCTCGAAGGCGTGCGACTTCGCGCGTTCGTGCGCAGTAAAGCGTCCTAACTAGTCATGTTCATTTAATTTTGCAACGTTCGCGAACGTTTTGCGCGGTATTGCGCTGCGGTCTGGACGCACCTTAAGAATACTATTTGAGATACTTTTACAGTTGTATTTTTGCAAGATTGTCCAGCGTCACAGCACTGAGCAGTGAGCTGAGCTGATGAATCTGTAGCGAGTCACGCGTCGGGTGGTGTAGTGGTGATACGATGACACCGCTGCGCTTTGCGCTAGGTGCGTCATCCACCAGTAAAACCCCTTTTATGCACGCGTGTTCTCCTCTCAACGCGGAGTTGACAAAAACGTCGCGTTTCAAGATACCCTGAACAGAGTTACTACGTTTATGCATTTTACGCTCGTTTATTTGGTCTCGCGTTTTCAATTCTGTCGCGATGGCTTTACAGAACGCTTGGCGACACGCGTTCCAAAAAAGCACGAAAGTATATCGGCGTTTTTATGCAAAGCGCTCTTTGTCGCAAGTCCAGTGGCTCTGTCTGTCAAGAATAGTTTTAGCACAGTTTGTTTTAGTTTTAGTTTAGCTGTTGATCAAGCGGGGCATGGATGCAATGGACGCAATTGGTATTGAAATATTTATTGATACCGATACCGATGGTCTATCAAAGTTACGTGAAAGCGATAAAGTAAGACATAGAAATACATGTGACAGACAAGGATGGGTATAGTGAAGGCGTTTCATAGTCACCGCCTGTTTCGCCCTTCCACAAATAAGTAGGAGACGAGCGCATGCTATTGGCCTAAATTTTAACTGAGCAACCGGTCGTCGTCTCCTCAGATCAGACAGAATCAGTATTCAGTATGTGTATGAACTTGGGATGCGTGTGTTGTGTCGTATTATTAAGACAACGCAAATTCTTACGTACTTTTAACTATTTACAATTACTTCATACACCTAAAAGTGTACGAAAATAATTGCAACTATTTNTTCTGCTAAAAAATGAATTTATAGATGATTGCAAAAAATTTAACGGGAATGAGTGAGCGACAAGCCCACACATTTACAAAATGTACAAGTACAAACTGTACTTGTACATCCACAGTGAATACGATTCCCTGATGCGGATCTTTTGATGCGGATCTTTATGTCGATACATTTCGCATCATGCGGATCATTAAAAAGATCCGTATTGCCCATCTCTATCTCAGATCGTAGTCAAGATAAATGATACTGTCGGAAACATTTTGTGGTAAGCATCAGCACTATCTGTTGTTGACACTTTCTCCAACTTCTATTGTCTTCCTTTTCTCGGACTTACCGATAATACAGTAAGACCAGTGAGATCAGCCTGCAGCCGTTAAACGAACAATCGCCATCTATTTGCACGCTCTATAACTATATACATACCCACCTTGGATTAGGAAAAGGGAAATCTAAGCTACCCACTAATATTTGTTTTAGGCATACTACCGCCGCTAAATTTAAAATTAAATAACAAATCTCACTCCACACAGATCACTCAGAAATTGTTTTTGTAAAATAATTTCCACGTAAGTAATTTTTGACACCATGAAAAAATAAGTAAATTTGACAAAAAACCGTTCAAATCACTAAAGCATTAAAGATACTTTTAAAAGCTCTAACAGCCTTCCTACTTAAAATAGGAAATAATTTTGATACTGTAACTTTTTGAAATGTTTGTTGGAAAAATTACAAATTTCAGTAATTTTGAAAAAAAAAGGGAAATTATTATAGAGCAGCTTTCGGTGCTTTCTATATTGTATTAGCTTTCACGGTGAATAAAAAAATATTACAAGCAAATAATTTTACTAAACCAATCTTTGATTAACTCTTGCATTAGTGATTTATTACGCAGCTTTAAATTTTTCGTTGTGTTGATACTCATATAAAAACTACCTCTGAAACTTCATGATCATGACAAACTTTCAAACATTTTTTATAAAAAAAAACAAAAAAACAAAACATTTTATTTTTAATTTATAAAAATGTAATTATATGATGATCAGACATTATTATGTTATTTTTTCACTGCGAATTTTGCAACGTAAAAAAATTTTTGCGAGCTTATTTTCGGATATAAGCGAAAAACTTAAATTTTTTTACGTAGTTTTAAGCCCATAAAATTCGAGTTAAGCCCGATTTTTGAAACAGCCATGTGTTTGGTTTAATTCGCTCAGATCATATTCAGGGTCGGAAAGTCCCCATGGTTCATCGGCCGTTACATGAGAGCGATAAAGTAAGTCATAGAAATCCGTGCGATAGACAAGAATGGGTATAGTGAAGGCGTTTTATAGTCACTGCCTGTTTCGCCCTTTCACAAGTAAGTAGGAGACAAGCGCATGCTATTGGCCCAAATGTTTGCATTTTAACTCAGCGACCAGTCGTTGTCGTCTCGTCAGATCAGAATCAGTATGTCTATGAACTTGGGATGCGTGTGTTGTGTCGTATTATTAAGACAATGCAAATTCTTACGTACTTTTAACTATTTACAATTATTGCATACACCTAAAAGTGTACGAAAATAATTGCAACTATTTTCCTCTTTTGTATTTATTTATTAGCCGGCCTGGTAGAAAGTAATACAAAAACTCTATTGCCGTAAAAAAGAAATAAAAAATTATGGTTTTTAATAAAAAATAAATAAACAATTATGGTTTTTAATAAAAAAAGAAAGCAAACATTTTCGTTTTTAATTAATAAGTTGTTCAAAAATGTCCCCCCTTTGTACCTCGCAATATCCTAATCTGTCATAGAACTCGCTTCTTACGCGTCCCAGCATTTCAGGGGAAATATTATGTAGGACGTCAACAATTCGGGCCCGTAAATCGACTAAATTACTTGGTCTATCATGTAAATGTCCATAAATGGTCTATTTTAATTGCCCCCAAAGGAAGAAGTCGTTGGGCGATAAATCTGGGGATCTGGGAGGCCATGGAATAGTGCCTCTTGTACTAATAACCTGCTGAGGAAATGTGGCTTCCAAAAAGGCGATTACCTGACGTGCATTGTGAGCGGGACAACCGTCTTGTTGAAACCATACGTCCTCAAAGTTGATATTTAATGCTCGAACAGCCGGAATAATTTCGAGTTGAAGCAAAGTTAAATATTTGTCGGCATTTAGGTTCCATTTATGAAAAACAGACCAATCACGGAATTTCCTAAAATACCAGCCCAAACATTTAACTTCTCAGGGTACTGCGAATGCACAGGAATACTCAAGTGCTTATTTTCCGTAAACCAGTAACGAGTTATTTGAGAATTGTAGGTCCTATGAAGAGAAAAAGATGATTAATCAGTAAACAAAATGTGGTTTAAAAAGTTTTCGTCCGAATCAACTTTTTCCCTCATAGTTTCACAAAACTCGAGACGTTTTGTTTGGTCTAAGGGAAATAGCTCTTGAGTTTCTTGTACTCTGTAACACTTATACCCATTTCTCTTCAAAATATTTCGCACTGTTCGCTCATGCATATCAACTTCTTCTGCGATTTGTGTACTACTACAAGGTTCACTCGTTTCCACAATACCGCAAACAGCTGTTTCACGTGCTACCCTGACCTCGGGCAATGGCCTGCCGTTGGCAGGTTCGTTGGAATAGCACTTTTTGCAGCTATTTACACACCCCGACGTCTCAAATCTGCGAACGATTTGATAAATCGTCTTCACCGCAGGGATTGGCCGATTTTCAAATGAAAATACAAATCGCCCAACGACTTCTTCGGCACTATGGGATGCATAAAACCATTTAACTATTGCCACCTTTTCCTCCGTTGTATAGATCAACATAATAACAACAAATTAATTAAATGAGGGAATAGACAATAGGCATGCATTACTTTCTACCAGTACAGCTAGAATTAGGTTGAACTTTCAGGCAGTGATGCCAGATGAATTCGATACATAAGCGCTAATTATGCTTTAAAAAATCCCTAGATTTCTACAAATATCTAAAATATTTAAATTTCTTGCACTTAAATTGAAGGAATTAGTGATGTACTTATACATGGTTAAAATTCCCTATTTCCCCAATTCCAAAAAAATCTGTAGATCTGGCATCACTTTATCTAAGGCTGCCCTCTGTTAACGAATTGTATATATGAAATCGGAATGGAATATGAAATCGGAATTGTATAAGTAGTGACATCTATTACAGAAAAGACAAACAATGAAAACAAAGATGGTCGCTGAATTACAAGTGGAAGTGGATCTTATTTGTGGAAGAGCGAAACGGGCGGTGACTATGAGACGCCTTCATTATAGCCACCTTCTCTATCACATGGATTTCTATGTCTTACTTTATCGCTCTCACATAACGGCAGATGAACCATGGGTACTTTCCGACCCTGTATAAATAAATGTGAATGAAAATAATAATGATAATGACAATTCTCGTTCTAATATCTAAAGTCTTCATTACACCACACATGCTACTTTCATTTTCCTGATCTTATCAGGATTTCAATGGCCTTTTGTCAATTTCGGCATTGCCCTTAATTCAGCAAACACATTATTAATTTTGTATGTGTCATATATATCCGACCACCTTGATATAAATGTGCCTTCGTCCGAGTACCAAATCAAATTTCTTTTTAATAAATTATTTCCAATTCCTTTTATTAGATGTGGAGGGTCATATAAATGAATAATTTTCTGTCCGTCTATGATAAAAAATTTATGACCAATGCGTTAAATGATTATTCACACTGTTTCATCGGATAATTAACTGCAGCCTGACTTGTAGACCCCTGCACTACATGAAGGACATGGAATAGTTACCTTTCCTTCAATACATTGTACCGCATCTGCAAAATAAAATCGTGCGATAAAAAGTATTTACATAAATGTACACAACCTTAAATTAAATTATTATTTTTAGAAATATTTTTAAACATTACAGCAGAACCCTGATACAGAATAATGTGGACCAGCATGATGACAGACGACCCAAAATTCCAAATAATCGAGAGTATTTAAATTATTCAATTATACGTATTTTAAATTTTTATTTAGGCTCTGTTACATTTATATGTTTAAAAATGTACCTATTGTTTTAGCCCACAATAAAACATCACTTAGCATGGTATTTGGTTAAAATTTGTTTTTTTCCATGTAAAAGGCAGCACTAAAACTTGTGAGTGTGAATAAAACAGAGGATTTAAAAATTAAATCTATTTGAATAAAATATATTCGGATAAGCGTTATCCAGATAATAATAATTCAACTATATTTGTTAAAAATACAGGCACGTTCTTGAATTATAAACCTACTAATATATTTTTAATTACATTGTCTTACCTATTTCTCTTTTGGGCAAATTCACGGAAGGAACAGCATCTTTCTTTAACAACAAAGCTGACGATATAATGTCACTGTTCTGAAAATGCAAATGGCATATCTTCTTCGTCCGATAAATAGTTTCAGGGGATATATGATTTAAATCATGATCATCACATGCTAACAACCATTGTTCAAAAAGAAGCGGATATTTCTTTGGATTTGGGAAACTATGTCGACTTGAACACTCATCTTCACAGCCCCTAATGGAACAACTGCGATATCGCACCATTGCGTCCAAATGTTAACAGAAAGTGTTTTCTCTAAAAATATGAAATATATTGATAAATGTTAATTCATATTTAACTTATAACAGAAACTAGTATAGTATAAGTACTAAAATTGTCTATAAAATTCTAATAAAACACACTAAAAACACAAATAAGACACAACTAACCAACAATAAACATGAACAACAAACGAAAAAAACAACAAAATTAACAATGTGGCGACATCTATAGACTCTTTCTCCAACTTGTACCAACACAAACCGACGCGCCCTGGTACGTAAGAAACTCTGACATATTACGAGACTTACAATACACAAACGATACACAGACAATAAGACAAAACGCGGAGAAACGGTTTGACGTAGCCGCTAGACATGACAATCTCCTCCTCAGGCAAGCCGTTGACTACGTACCCGACGTGACCGACAAACACAAAAGACCTAGACACCAACTTTTTGACCCTGGGTGACCACCCCAATGACCCCCCCCCGGCCCGCCCAAACACAACCCCGGGACGCACATACGCTGACATGACCAGAAAAACACAAA